AAAGTCATTCACTATATTCCGGATTTCGATCATTCGAAACCACATTGATTATTCAATGTAAATTTTCAGTCCCCTCGAATTTGAATAATCGAGGTTGGACTGTATTTCAATTGGGTTTACACAGAAAAAGTGTTTTTTAAGGAGTATAAAAAAGTTGAACTTCTGGAACATGCCAAAAAACTTACATCAATGCTTACTCAATTTTTTTCTCACAAAATAGTCCTTCAGGTTAAATCAAATACACCTATACACAAGGATTTATTGAATTGAACCTCACTATAAAAAGCTTGACCCCTTTAATTACAGAACTTGCATCCATCGGACTCCTGAAAATTGGAAGTGAAGTAAACCCCTGAATATACCTACCAAAAACCATAAAATCGGTTCACTTCCTCAAAACTTGAACTCTCTTCACCAATGTCAGGGACTCTTTTCTTGTTTGACCATCTGAAATACCATATAACATAATACATGTATATAACATAGTGATAAAAAGCTCTAAAAATAGAACATTTTTCAATTCTGACCAACAATCCCTTATTAAAGATTCATTGGTCCTTGGTGTTGATTGGTAACGCCATCTTGTTTTATGTAACTAAATGTGATAACATTTTCATGCTTTACTAAAAATAATTTACATCTTGTTAATATTTATTGCTTTTTTCAAAACATTTTTGCAATTTCATACTTGTTACTGCTTAAAATAACATTCTAGTGTTAAGCATGGTCTTGGTAAATCTTGTGAAAAAGAGAACTTGCGGGATAATATATCTCTGATAGAGATTTTAAGTGTATGACGTCATAGCTTACACTCCATTAAAATATAGTTATGTCGAAATACAGAAATAATGTTAAACACAGATAAATTTTTCGCTATATCTTACAACTGTAATAATTAAATATTTCACAATTCGTTTAAATAGCTGATACATTCAAAATAATCTACAATATTTCAAATTATACCTTGCATTTTCCGCAAAAACTGGCCTAAAGACTTCAAAAAATTTTTCCTTCGAGTTGCTATTGTTTGGTGGTACGCTGTCGTCAAATAAAGGATCCACGCTGTCATAGGATTTCCTTTTCACGGGATTTCCAAGGGTTTCCCACGCTTAAATGAAAATAAAAAAATTTCCAAGCTAAAAATAGAACATGAATTGGAAAAAAAAATTATGTATTGGGACAAACTTTCTTGCCTCACTTCTTATTGCCCACATCTCCTACAGCTTTTGTGACGGGCATATTTTGTGATATTGTCACTCTTGTTCTAAACTGTAATTGCATATACAATGTATTACCATTTATTGTACTATGTTGGTTACTGGTTTGGGAGATAAACTCGGCTGAAAATCAGTGTTTTGGGGGCATATTTCATTTATTTGTTTACGTATTCTGATGAATCTTGCACCATAATAAACTTCAGCTCTTCGATTTTTCGGTATCACCATAAAAGCTATATTTAGAAACATAAAGGGTAATTTTGAGAGGCCCTGGAAGAGGTGCGTAAAAAGGATATTTTTAACGTGCGCGAGTAAATAATTTCGGCTCTTTGTTTTTCTTCTTAAATGAGTAAGTTAAAATGTAAAATAACATGTTTAGACATTTTATTATTTCTTTGCTGTTCATTTATGTCAAATAAAAAATATTTGTTACCAAAATTGTTGAGCATTACGTTAGTATAATGAATATAGATATGATAACACGATATTGATATGCAACGTACTATGTAACATATTAATCATTTTACGTAAAAAACACATGCATTATCATTTATTAACGTATAACGAAATATGTAGTTAAATAATTAGTGATTCAAATTTATTTTTGCTTAGCTTAACAGAGTGAAGAAGAAATTAATTTAGTGGTATTCAACCTACACATTAACATATAAAAGGAGCATTTAACATCAATCTTTCAATCCATTCCACTTAAAGATAACAATTGTGTAATCAGCCTTTTTTCTGAGTTAGCAAGACAAAAGTGAGTCTGAATTTCATCTACAAAATGTATACGTAAACGTCGTCTGCTTTACCGGTAGTCGGTCAATATATAAAAGTACCCCTGTGCGGGCCTCAAAATGAGCATCTGCTGCACATGCGCACAACAATGGGATTCCCGTACTTTTTATAGGCATGTTTTGTAAACAAACAGGTAAAAGTCTAGTGTTATTTTTTAAATATGTTACAAAACTTGACAAAATTTCCAGATATTGTCGAATTCCAGCGATAGTATGACATGGTGAGCTTGATTAGATTAAAAATTCCGATAACTCGATTTAATTATAAAAAGCCGAGTTTATCAACCAGCCGAAGTTATCTCCCTAACCAGTATAGTTAAATACATAACATACCTAAGGTTATGATAGCTTATGACATTTGTTGACAAATACTAAAATTATTTTATTTTCATGTAAAACAAGGATGTTTAAGAGATATACTATGCTCATTTATGGGTAAAATACTTTTATTGCAGAAATTTTTTGAAATCAAGGAAATTCATACTGAATAAGTCAAATTTGATTATAACATTGCACAAACTATGTTTTAGAAGCTACATTCCCTATTATTGGACATGTTTTTTCCCCATCCTTTATTAAAAAAAGAATGGCAGTTTTTTAAGACACTATGTATTTATACTGTGAAGTATGTAGAGTTTAAACGTACATTTTATCTCAGTGTGTTCTCAAAAGATGGGTGTTTTTTATTTTACATTTAAAGATACTACCAGCAATTATCAGTATTTTCATAATATCAAACTTGTGCATAATATATCTAGGATTGAACACAACAAATTTATTTGCTTTTTGGCCTCCAGCCCATGCAAAAATATAATACACATCATATTTACAGAGAATAGTATGTCTATAACAGCTTAACTTAGGCAGAACCTATAACAGTTGTTTATCCGAACAGAAATAGATACCTACAGACTCAATGTGATTAAAATCAGCTCTAAAAATGCTCCGCTTTTTTATCTGACCGTGACCCAATACAATTTTATTTCTGGTGACATTTCACACAAGCTTTCAAGATTTTGAAAGCGATGTGGTTTCTAATTTTAACCCAGGGAAAACCAATACTGAGTAGGTAATTTTCACCATTGCGAGAACAAACATGGCATTGACAGGTAAACTGGCAAAACAATCATGCCCATCAAAAATTGACTCTATTTATTAAAATTACTTCAAACATTTTTTTTGTAACAAATATCAACAATTTTTTTAACTTCAATGGATAACAGTATTTTGATACTTCTTCTCATGCCTATGTAAAAACTTGTTTGTGATTGCATTGCTAGAAATAGCTTTCTTGAGAAATCCGAATAATAAAGAAGGTGAAACATACACAGTCATCATCAGATCTACATAAAAGAAATAAGTAGATCTGAACTTTAGTCAGATTGCTACAGGCTAAACCTGTTGGCTGTCTTGACAGAAGTAAATAAAGAAAGAGATACCTCGAGTGATGCATGTGAAATAATCATCTTCTCCCTCGTTAACTTTCAGTCCTCGTGCCCGTCTTTTATCTGGGTGATGATGAAGTACCTTACGTTTATCTGGAAAATAAGCATAGTATCATTATTTTGAGAATACATTCAAACACAAAATCTTTAATTTCAAAAGATCATTTAAGTCAGTAATTATTTTAATATTATTTCAGACAAGTAAGTTTCTGCTTATTTCATTGGGTAAGAGCAGCAGTCATGTGGTGATCCATTTTTTTTTCTAAAGTCGCTTTTCTTTCTGTAGCCAAGCCACTATAAACACATGAACAAAATGGCTGCCATTTTACAAAATTGGCCTTAATTTCACTCCATCACATTACAGATTTAAACAAACATTTTTTTGTTTCTAAAATTTTAGTTTCACACAAAATTTTACAATCTAGCAAGAAATATTTCATTTTCTGACCAACACTTCAGACTGTGAGACAAGCGATTTTTGAAAACAATGGCTTCAGCTTAAACAAGAGGGCCATGATGGCCCTGAAATGGCTCACCTGCATATAGGCCCCTGGGCCAATGCCAATTTTAAACCAGGGACTTTTATTTGAACAAACTTGGTAGACAGCCATTAGAAGATGTTTCATGATAAATACATGTATATAAGCTTTGACTCTTTGGGTTTTTACAAAAAGATTTTTTTAAGTTTTTACTATCTACATAAAAATTATAGGAAAAAACAATGACGCCCCCCCCCCCCCCCCCCCCACTCCCAGAGGGGCCAGGGCTTTTATTTAAACAAACTTGGAAGACACTAACTAAAAAATATTTCATGCTTAGTATCTAAACTCTAGCTATTTTGTTTTTTTTAAAAGATATTTTTTTAAGTTTTTACTATATATAAATAAGGAAGATCAATGACCCCCCCCCCCCGTGACAATTTTGACACCAGGGCATTGATTTGAACAAACTTGGTAGACACTGACTAGTTGATAATTCATGCCAAATATTTAAACTCTAACTCTTGTGGTTTTCTAAAAAAAGATATTTTGAGTTTTTTTCTTTCGGTTCTGCTTGGAATTAAATTCTTTGAACAATTTTTAAAGTTGACTACCAAAGGAACATTCCTGTGAAGTTTGGATGAAATTGGCTTAGTGGTTTATGAGGAGATGTAGTTTAAAGTAAAAGTTTACGGACGGATGCCGGACGAAAAGCGATCACAAAAGCTCACCATGTCACTTTGTGACAGGTATGCTAACAAGAGCTGTCGGAAGGACAGCACGCTCGACTATTCTAAGTGCTTGATAGTAAAAGAGCCTTGATAATGTTAAATTTTTTAAGTTCACAAAAGGGCTAATTTTTTTTATAAATTCATGTTATAGGCCTTAGAGAGAGTCTAATTATACAGTATTGGCTTGACTATTCGGAAGGTAATGTCACAAGGGTGTTTTATTGAGTATAATAATACTAATTACCTATAAATACATAAATTTGACAGACAAGGTACAAAGGCTTGTTATTAAGATGTTTTATCAAGTAAATCACTGCTTTATTATTAGGAATGCATAAAATTGTCCCAAAAAAGGCACAAACCCTTCAGTAGTTATTGAGATAACAGCTTACAAACAAAACTTTACCATGAATTTCTAAGTTGAAAAATGGGAGAAAAATCAGCCTATATGCAAGATAGAATTATGGATCTTTGTCAGTGACCTACAATTATGACCCTAAATGCATATGTGAAGTTTTAAATAAATATCTTTAATAGTTATTGTGATATGTAAAACTTGCATGTAAACATTAACCAAGAGACTAAGTAGAAAAGGGGATATGAATCAGCCTTAATGCAAGATAGAGTTATGGAACTTGGTCAGTGACATACAATTATGACCCTCCAATTATGACCCTAAGTGCATGTGTAGTTTCAAGTAAATATCTTTGAAGACCTTTAACCTTTAACCAAAATTACTAAGTTTCAAAGGGGCAAATAATTCTGCAAATATTGCAGGCAGAGTTATGCAATTTTGCAAACTGATGTACAATATTACTACAAAAAAGTATTTTAAATTTCAATTGAATATCTCAAGCAATAATTGAGATATTTGACTTTACAAAAAAACTTTAACCAAAATTTCTAAGTTAAAAAGGGGCATAATTCTGTCAATATTGTAGGCAGAGTTATCCAACTTGTCAATCTGATGTACCTTGTTACTATAAATAAGTATTGTAAGTTTAAATTGAATATCTCAAGCAATAATTGAGATATTTGACTTTACAAAAAACTTTAACCAAAATTTCTAAGTTAAAAAGGGGCATAATTCTGTCAATATTGTAGGCAGAGTTATCCAACTTGTCAATCTCATGTACCTTGTTACTTTAAATAAGTATTGTAAGTTTAAATTGAATATCTCAAGCAATAATTGAGATATTTGACTTTACAAAAAACTTTAACCAAAATTTCTAAGTTAAAAAGGGGCATAATTCTGTCAATATTGCAGACAGAGTTATCAAACTTGTCAATCTGATGTACCTTGTTACTATAAATAAGTATTGTAAGTTTCAATTAAATATCTCAAGTAATAATTGAGATATTTGACTTTACAAAAAACTTTAACCAACGCAGACGCCGACGCGGACGCGGACGCCGACGCCGGGGCGACTACAATAGCTCTCATATTCTTCGAATAGTCGAGCTAAAAAGGGATGACATGGCTGCTGCCTGGCTTCCTAGAGATCCCCTATATTTCCCTTATGGGTCAATATCAAACCCTGTTGATAGCAATAAGTAGAAACCCTCTCAATGCACAAGTAATTACAGTACATAATTAAGTATTTGTTTTAAATCAATTAAAGAAATTAACATACAAGCCTTCTTGATCTGCGCATCTGTTGCTTTAAATCTTAGTTTTTCCAGACCTAGTACAGCATAGTGATCTTGTTTCTGAAATATATTTTAATATGAATATATGTTACAGGGAAAGTGCAAAATCAGGCATTTTTATGTAGTCCTTGATCTTTCAGTGATTTCCTGATATCTAGCAGTGTGTCAGGAAATACTACAAAAGGTAGATATAATTATATGTTTGTTTTAAACCTCTACACACTGTACGTCCACATTATATATAATATAGTGTCATTTAAAAACTGGCATTTTTTTAAAGAAAGAACTAACTTTACATAACTTTACTTGATCCATAAAAGGGAATGCAGCTTTCCATACATAGTTTGTACTAAATTCTTTTATATTAGTTAAACATATTGAGTAAGAATTTCATATATTTAAAAAAAATTATGCAATAAAAATATTTTACTCAAAAATAAGTATAATCAGTATACCTTTAAAGTGTATAAAGCTATTATTGCGACAATTCTGATCAAGAACAAAAAAATTATCTCAAAATATTTTGACCAAGTGGGTTCCTAAAATCTTTATAGTGTAGGCTATCATAAAAAGCAAATCAATAATTAACTTACCTTCCATTCTTTTGGGTCTAAACTAAGTAGAAGTGAATCATCTTCTACAACATGGTCATCATCATCCTCACTCTCAGACGAGCTCGAACTTGACAAAGAATGTTGAGACAGCGAGTGCTTATGTCTCCGTCGTAAACACAGACCTTCAAACCATCTCCCCACTGGTTCTACCTCAAGCTTAGTACATGCTGTGTAAAAGAGAAAGGTTATAAAAAGTTAATGTAACTAGATTGACAGAATACCCAGCAACTTTTTCAGCTACAGAATCTGAAACTTGACCATAAAAATAAGTTACTTCAATAATCTTCACTGACACTAAAAAATATTTTACACTATAAAAGAGGAAAGTTGTGTATGGGTATAGCATCAAGCTACTAATTTAGAGGTTATGGATTCAATCCAACTTTTTTTAACTTCTACAAAGTACAATCCACATTGGTGCAATTACTAATTTTTCGACAGCCAGGAAGCAGTCAACTGGCTTGACGTTAAAGCGCATTTCTTGATACAGATACCCAAAATGTCTGCAACATTTATGCATGATCTGAATGGCTTTCCTAAATAGAGACATCTTGAATGTACAGTGATTTTTTTACCTATATTTTACAGCCAAATCAAGGCTGTTTCCCCTAGCCCAAAACAGTTATATTTTCCCCTAAAAAATGTTATATTTCCCCCTGAAATGACCTGTGCAAAAATCTTCACAAGGACCATGACTAATGACAGCAGCTGACTTAAATATGCTTAGTTGATAAATTTGACTAAACGACAGAAAACTGTCCCAAAAGATAGCTTTTCTATGTTATAATGCATGTTAAATTGAATTTAAAGTGAAAATTCTATAACATACATTGGTAGAAATCCTTTCTCAGCTGTTGGATTTAGATTTCAGATTGTCCCCCTTTTCTTATTTATCTTGATTAATTTCCCCCTTAGAAAGCCACAGTTGTTTTTGAAAATTGGGAAAAAATCACTGATGTATATAAACTGCTGTTTTAATAATGGTTTCAGTAACTAAAAATAATCTTTCAATTAGACTAGAGACCCAATAAAGAAACTTGTCTGAGAAATGTTTATCTTAATTATCCTTATCATACTATATGTCAATATTTTGAAGAAAATTAGTCATTCCAGATGACTGCTTTCTTTCTGTCTTGTTAAATTTAATAAATTTTATAATATGTGAGTATTCTGGTATTCGCGCTATGATGATAACTGTTAAACTCTATTGAGTTTTCAGACTTCCCGAATATGTCGGTCTGAAGGACATGTCCGATAAATTTTAATTAGGTCCGACAATTTTTTATTCCAGATCGGTCCGACTGTCCGGCTTTTATCAAAGCCTCATGTAAACAAAATGGCATCGCTAAAGGTGCCAAACCTGGGAAAAAAAGAAAATCTACATCAGCGGAGCACGCAGAACAGCAATAAAAGGATGAAAAGAATAGACTTGAGACTAAATTTAACAAAAAATGGAAGCAGGACCATGAATCGTTGGTGTATGACAGGGAGGAGATGAAAATGCGCTGTATGGACTGTGCTGATATTTACGGCGAAAAAATAAAAACCGAAAAGTGTCTTAGATTTTCCTTTGATTTTGATTAATTTCATTAGGTCTGACAGATTTCGGTTCGATCTGTCAGACCTAATAATGTCAGTAATAAATAAGTACTTCGGTCCGACAGATTTTCATGGTTTGTCAGACCAAATGTCTGACACTTTTTTTTTAACTTTTGGGAAGTCTGAATTTTTGTCTTCTTGAACATGCTAACTTCAAATTTTCAGTACAGAGCAATATCACATAAATTCACAATAACCAGAATCTTAACATTTATCACTGTAAACTTATGAAACACCTTATTTGTAATATAGGAATATTTAGGTACGAAACTTTTGAGCACGAATAAAAATAAACTTTTTTAGATAATGCATTAGGTGTTCAAAACTGCTGATATCTTTCTTTTAAATAATCCATAGATATCAGGTTATTCATGCTATAAAACTATTAACCTGAAAGCTTCCCTGTTACGCCAGTAATTTCATTTTCTCCCGGTGTCGGTAGCAACATGTTTTCCTCCTAAATTTTTTAACGGTGCGCCGTTAAATTTTTAAATTGTGAGGATAGCTTTAAAGCAGACAAACAGAACGGACAAACAGATAAACACTTGTGATACAGGTAAATTTTTTCCATTTTCTGTTTAAGAGAAACAATTTAAACGCAATTGATTTAAATCTTTAATGATCAGAAACAAATGAATAACTTTTCTGGTAACTGTTTTGGGATAAATAAATCTTTTGAAGTTGAAAAACACACGCACACAAAAGTTATAGCTGTCACAACAGCATCAGAGCATGACAGTACAAAATGTTGTATGTACATGATCTAGGCCAATGATATATTTTGATTTCATGCATGAGTGACAGAGCGTAAACATTAATGCCTTATAGATTGTTGAGATGGTAGCAAGACACCTCACCCCCCAGACACTTCACTCCTTAAATTTTGAAGACACTTCACTCCTCAAGACACTTCACCCCTCAAAATCAGTAAGACACTTCAACCCTCATCCAATTTTTTTTCTATAAATTAAATAAAACAAGTTCGATAACAACAAAATGCTTATATATGTTTATATTAATTATTTTTAGTATTACTAAGTTTTTATTGCATGTCACCTTGTTTATTCAACATGTTGATTGGTTGTTTATTCAACAGTTATCTCATATTGATTAGATAATTAAATTAAAATGGTATAATTGTATGAAAATTAAATTTATTTATAATAAATAAATAAAATGAATATAATAATAAATGAATATGAATGAATGAATCAGTTGCAATATTTCATGTGTTTTTCTTTATAAATGGCCATTTAGCAATTGATTTGCTGATGAGGCTAATAAACTTGACACTTGAAGCTATTCTGCAGTTATGATTACTAAAAAATATGAGCTAATTAAACAAAATTATTCAGAAACATTAAAAATAATATGAATTACTTAAACTATCAATACATGACAATTAATACAATAATCATAATTCATTAAAGCCAACAGCCTGACCTATTAGCTTTGTATTCCTGTTTTGCTTTCAATACTGTCAATTAATTAAAGACACAAAGTAAGTGTGAAAGAGATCATAAAAACTATACTCTTATTATAATATATATATCAAAGGAAAATTCACACAAAGATTCACACACTTAACTAGACAGATTATTCTTTTAATATTCAATAAGTTATATCACTTTTACTTAAATTGAAATTAGTATGAAATATATAAAAATTAAAAAAACAAACTTTATACTATGAACTTTGTGATATGAGCCTTTTTTGTAGGGCAAAAACAACAATATATCCGTTGTCTTTTGTCAGTTACATGATAAAATAATAATAAAATATGTTAAAACAATAAACATACTCAATCACTATTGAATGTATTTTACATAATCTACATAAATAATTGTTAAACACAAAATAAAAAAATGAGGGGTGAAGTGTCTCAATCAAATTTCTTAAAATGAGGGGTGAACTGTCTAAGGGGTGAAGTGTCTGCAAAAAAGGGCCTAGGGTGAAGTGTCTGGGGGGTGAAGTGTCTGTAAGCCGTTGAGATGTCAGATAGTTAAATTTTAGATATTCAAGCTGTCTCTATTTAGAGAAGCAGTGGCCCTGTGGCTACTGTAGTCTGAAGCCCTACGGGCTTGTATTGCTAACCAAAAGTTCTAGCTGTATGTGGTGGATACAGCGCACTGTTGAAGCTAGCCATACAGCATTTTTTTTAAATAAATAACGTAAAACAATAATGAATGTATGCAAACTTGTGTTTCTAAACTAAGATTTTATGAATATCTAGATACGAATTGTTATGTTGAAATTCTATGTGATACTGAATTTATAACAAGTTAGTGCCTCATTTTTTATGCTCCCCGAAAAATTTCGGGGGAGCATATAGTCGGCGCCTTGTCCGTCCATCCGTCTGTCCGTCCATTTTCTTGTCAAGAGCATAACTTGAAAACCCTTGGAGATAATTTGTTTAAACTTCATACAGTGGTAGAGGGCATTCACGAATTCGAAAACCTAGCTAAACGCCGTTTTCCGGTACTTTCTGTACATAGCTCTGGGGAATTCACCTAATGGAGTGTAATAGCGAAGTCAATGTTTTCGGCCTTTTTTTAAATTAAACTGAAATAAAACACTTATTTCTTTATAAGAAAATAATTAAATATCATTGTATGAATAATTCCATAAAAAAATAAAGTAAATACACAAGTTTACGCAGAAAATAACCTTATTTAATATGGAAGATTCCACTACGTCTGTTTGAATTTTATTGATTTTCATTATAAACTATTTATTTTTTTGAATAATTTGCAATAGATATTAAACAAACATTGATAATTTTCAAAAACATCAATTTATTTCACCTTAAACGGTTAAATAATGATAGAAAAATAGACATCTCGTAACTGTGTTATGTACTTCATTTGGTGTAATTCCCCAGAGCTAAAACGGTAACGTACCGGAAAACAGTGTTTAGCTAGGTTTTCGAAAAGGTCAATTGAGGGGGAGTGCAGTGTCAAAGAACCATGACTCTATTTTGCCCGGTTTTTGAATTATCTCCCCTTATAGAAAAATCTTGTCCGGGGCATAACTCCAAAACTATACGAGATATCAACATGAAACTTTGTAGGTGAATAGATCTCAATGGGTAGATGTGCAGTGCATAAGAACAATAACTCCTTTGTCCTAATTTTGGAGTTATTGCCCTTTGTTAATTTTTACACTGAACTTTGTCCGGAACATAACTCTAAAATTATAAGAGATATCAAGATGAAACATTGTAGGTAGATAGATCTCATTGAGTAGAAGTGCAGTGCAATAAAAACCATAACTCTGTTAAGCCTCATTTTTGAATTATCTCCCCTTTTAGAAAAATCTTATACTGGACATAGCTGTAAAACTATAAGAGATATCAACATGAAACTTTGTAGGTAGATGTATCTAAATGGGTAGATGTGCAGTGCACGAGAATCATAACTCTGCCTTGCCTAATTCTGGAGTTATTGCCATTTGTTTATTTTTACTTTTTGAATTTGTCTGGAACATAACTCAGAAATCATAAGAGATATCAACAAGAAACTTTGTAAGTTGATAGATAACAGTGATTAGAAGTGCAGTGGAAAGAACAGTAACTCTGCCTTTCCTAATTTTGGAATTATTGCACTTTTTCCAGGGACATAACTCTGAAACTACAAGAGGTGTATTTTCCTGTGTCCAAAACCTATTCGGGGAGCATCACCCGGCTCAAACCGGGCACTTGTTAAATACTGTTCCAATGTAGCACAGCATAGCACTATTAAGATCATTACTTACATGTATTTTACAGGAATTGATAAGAAAAGAAAATGGCAGAAACTAAAATAAAGAATGAAAGAGGGCAGCAACTGTATGCACGATACTGGAATGAAGACGACTCCCCAAAAGATTCTTACAAGTAAGTGCAGTCAATGCAGACCAAGCTGTCACACTCATCTGATTATAGTCTGCATTGTCTTCAAACCACATACCAGGGGCTTCCATTAAGTTCCAAAATTTTGGAAGTCAGATACTGCAAATTCTCTGACATTGGATGTTACATTATATAGGTACTGGGCAGGAACCAGTTTCCGGACAATACCAGTTTCCGGACAAGTATTATAGCGGCTTAATTTTGGCTTTATCGATGACGATCGGTATTATATGTCATGAAGATGCTTGGTTTGATTGTTTGAGAAAATAAACTTCCTTCCAAGTTGATACATCATTAAAATTTTGTGAGGATATCTTACCTGTGTTTTACAAACAGCCTTATATCCCTTTGGGGCATGTAATTTGTTCTGCGCATGCGCAATTTTTTGTTTATTTCGGGATATAATTTGGGGTAGTAATTAATGCACAATGTACTTCGTTCGAAGTTCATTGGTGTAATTTCCCCAGAGCTAAATCTGTAACGTATCGGAAAACGGTGTTTAGCTAGGTTTACTCCACTTTCGCACTTTGTTGCTGCCATATACACACAAATATCCGTTTCACTTTTCAGTCATTTCGAGACCCATCACGTGATCGTTATTTTTCCTATCATAAATTTGTTGTTATATTAGAGTAATTATCAGTTAAAAACATATATAAACAGCAGCTTAATATATGTCCGGAAACTGGTTCTGCAAGAGTGAACAATTTACACTTTTGATGACCTAATTTAACCCTTCAGTTTGTACATTGCTTACGTCACCAGGCTGTATTAATTGTGTGATTGGACGTAGTTAGAGCTCAGGTTTTTTGTATTTTGTTTTATTAATGCGTCTTTATTATTAAAAAATAGACAATTAAAAAAACTCAAATTCTGTCCGGAAACTGGTTCCTGCCCAGTAAAGAAGAAAAAGCATTACATTTTGGAAGTCATAAGTCAAAAACAAGTAGTAAACAAGGAATTCTAAGTTTAAATTAACGGAAGCCCTGTTTACACCTCGCAATTGTGAGTATGGTAAGTCAATCTTGACTTTTGACTTTTTCATTGTACATGTAAGGAAGATATCCACTATGCTTAGCAAAGATAACCATGCCAAGTCATGCCTGAAATAATGCTTAGGCGGACAGCTGAAAGTCACATTTTATTATTATGACCATAACATTGTTGATTTGACTTATTAACCAACACAAAAAAATCTATATCATGTGTGAATTGTACTTTTATATACATGTACAATACAGACTTTAGTTCTACAATTGTAAGAAAGCCTAAGAAAGTTTCATGTACAACAAGCTTAAGGTTAGATTTATAACACTTCTGGGAAAATGTTTAATGTAAGTCTATATTATGATATGACAACACATTTGTGATTCTTTCAGTTAAAAGCCAGGAAAACTACAACAACAGCCAAATCAAAATTATGTTCTTTTATGTCGACATTTGCATTTTATCATAATTTTTTCATGTATTTACAGAGCCTTGGTTTTCATAGTTCATGGTTACTGTGAACATTGCCTGCCTTACACTGAACTAGCCAAAACCCTCATAGATAAAGGCTTCTATGTCTTTGCTCATGATCATGGTAAGAGTGCTTGATCTTTCTTCAGCAGTTTGTATTTTACTTAATCATTGCATTAAAACTTATGTTATTTATAAAAAATTAAAAAAAGATAAGAAAATGAGAACAAAGTTTTAAGTTTTGAAACACACAGTATACAAATTTTTATAACACTTACTGAAAGTCATCATCATTGGATACCCACAGTTGATTTATATGTAACATAACATATGTAATCAAATGTTAATGGTTCGGCCATGGGTATCCCAGGATGACTTGAAGTAAAACTATACTGCTTCTTCAGATATTTTCATGAAATCATGATCATTAAGAGCTAATTTGTTAGGTAAAATACTCACAAATTTTTCCTTTCAGGTCTATAACATTTAAATGATTCTCAGATAATAAGCGACATATATTTTTGCAATAGTCTCCAATTTTTCCAAAATTTTATTCCTATTAAAATTTTCTTATTTTACACCAAATTTGCTCTGTGTGGCATTGCAATCATTGAAAAGGTGGGTAGAGGTGTTTGTTTTTAACATCTCTTTTGTACAGGATTATACTTGATACCTTGTCTTTTATTAAATGATCACATCACATAGATAATTTGAGAGTAAAAAAGGGGAAAAGATGCAAGTGATTTTTAGAGTAAAAATGTATAGCCCTGCCTTATATGCAGTATGGGCCAAGTTGGTTAAGGTCACTAACTTTGAGCATCTTGCCCCTTATTGCTGTGGGTTTGAATCCTGCTAGAGTCTTGGGATTCTTTCATGTGGAGAAGCTGTCTAGCTTAAGTATACCAACAGTCAGTGGTTCTACTCAGATACTTCCCTGTGTCCACAGAGGGACAACTGAGGTCTTCCTTAGCAAAAAAAAAAAACACACACACAAAAAAAACTGGAAAATTACCATGTGACCTTTATAGTCTGTTATAATACCCTTTACTTAATACTTAATAGCTTTAGAATGCCCTTTACTTACTAGTAAATCAAAACAAATAATAAAACATATATTGTCAGTCTTCTAAGGTAGGTAAATGTGCCATATTTTCACATTACAGTGGGGCACGGACAAAGTGAAGGAGATAGGGCACATGTAATTGATTTTGATGACTATGTAAATGATGTGTTTTGCCATATTGACCAGGTCAAGAACAAATTTCCAGACAAACCAGTCTTTCTAATCGGACATTCTATGGTAAGTTCGTTGGAAAACTCCAGGAATTAATCCTTCCTCAATGTTGTGTTGATTCAGGTCCATTCCAATCTTTCATGTGATGGAAAAATTGTGAACTTAAGAAAATTCCTCTGATCTCTTGCCCAGTAAAGCAGAGGTACCAAACTCAGCCAGGAACTTTGAATTCTTAAATGTGAATAAGCTAGCTTACGGAAGGTCTGTGGTTCTACCCAGGTGTCCACTTGTGCCTTAAATAATGCACAGAGGGGTACCAGTATCTGTTTTCTTGCTCGGCTATAAAAGCTGGAAAGTGGCCATATGACCTTTACAATGTAAGTGTGACTTTGAAACCAAACCAAAACAATAACAAGAAGAAGCAGAAATTTTTTAGTAATTGTTTGTATCAATTTAAAGTATTCTCTTAACAATTCACATGTGTGTTATTGCACATAATCACAAAAAATGTTTAAAAAAACAACACCCATAACTCTAGTTCAGATTGTTACTGAATTATTCCCCTTTGCATACTTATATTGTTCTTGCATGGACCTTGCCTTTACTGTCGAGCACTTATAATAGTCAGGGTTGATGCCTCCTGACAACAATTTGATGGTGTTTCCTAGTGATCATTTTTAGCTCACCTGTCACAAAGTGACAGGGTGAGCTTTTGTGATCGCTTTTCGTAGGGCGTCTGTCCGGCGTCCGTCCGTCCGTAAACTTTTACTTTAAATGACATCTCCTCATAAACCACTAAGCCAATTTCATCCAAACTTCACAGGAATGTTCCTTTGGTGGTCACCTTTAAAAATTGTTCAAAGAATTTAATTCCATGCAGAACTCTGGTTGCCATGGCAACCGAAGAAAAAACTTTAAATATCTTCTTTTAAAAAACCATAAGAGCTTAGATATTTGGCATGAAACATCTTCTAGTGAGTGTCTACCAAGTTTGTTCAAATAAAAGCCCTGGGGTCAAAATTGGCCCCGCCCCGGGGGGTCATTGATTTTCCCTATATGTATATAGTAAAAACTTAAAAAATCTTCTTTTAAAGAACCCAAAGAGCTAGAGCTAAGATATTTAGCATGAAACATGTTCTAATGGGTGTCTACCAAGTTTGTCCAAATAAAAGCCCTGGGGTCAAAATTGGCCCCGCACCGGGGGGTCATTGATTTTCCCTATATGCATATAGTAAAAACTTAAAAAATCTTCTTTTAAAGAACTCAAAGAGCTATGGCTAAAATATTGAGCATCAAACATGTTCTAATAGGTGTCTACCAAGTTTGTTCAAATAAAAGCCCTGGGGTCAAAATTGGCCCCGTCCGGGGGGTCATTGATTTTCCCTATATGCATATAGTAAAAACTTAAAAAATCTTCTTTTAAAGAACTCAAAGAGCTATGGCTAAGATATTGAGCATCAAACATGTTCTAATAGGTGTCTACCAAGTTTGTTCAAATAAAAGCCCTGGGGTCAAAATTGGCCCCGCCCCAGGGGGTCATTAATTTTCCCTATATGCATATAGTAAAAACTTAAAAAATCTTCTTTTAAAGAACCAAAAGAGTTAGAGCTAAGATATTTAGCATGAAACATGTTCTAATAAGTGTCTACCAAGTTTGTTCAAATATAAGCCCTGGGGTCAAAGTTGACCCTGCCCCGGGGGGTCATTGATTTTCCCTATATGCATATAGTAAAAACTTAAAAAATCTTCTTTTAAAGAACTCAAAGAGCTATGGCTAAGATATTTAGCATCAAACATGTTCTAATAGATGTCTACCAAGTTTGTTCAAATAAAAGCCCTGGGGTCAAAATTGGCACCGCCCGGGGGGTCATTGATTTTCCTTATATGTGTATAGCAAAAGTTTAAAAAATCTTCTTTGAAAAAACCAAAATAGCTAGAGCTAAGATATCAAGCATGAAACATCTTTTAGTGAGTGTCTACAAAGTTTGTTGAAATAAAAGACCTGGGGTCAAAATTGGAACCGCACCAGGGGTCTTTGATTTTCTTTATATGTGTAAAGCAAAAACTTAAAATCTTCTTTGAAAAAACCCAAATAGCTAGAGTTTAGATATTAAGCATGAAACATCTTCTAGTAAGTGTCTACAAAGTTTGTTCAAATAAAAGCCCTGGGGTCAAAACTGGCCCGGCCCCAGGGGTGTCATTGTTTTTAACTATATGTGTATAGTAAAAACTTAAAAAAAATCTTCTTTTAAAAAGCCCAATGAGCTAGAGCTTAGATGTTTAGCATGAAACATCTTCTTATGGGTGTCTACCAAGTTTGTGCAAATAAAAGCCCTTGGGTTAAATTGGCCCTGCAACGTTGGGGGGGGGGGGGGGGGGGGCCTATATACAGGTGAGCGACCTCAGGGCCATCATGGCCCTCTTGTTGTATATGTGAACTAATTTATTGTTGTTGTAGGGGGGTGCTATATCAGTTCTTGCTGCTATGGCTCGACCAACGTTCTTCAGTGGGGTGATTCTAATTGGACCATTGATAACACCTGACAGAAAAGCTGCAACACCTTTCAAGGTAAGAGCAAAGAAATAGTTCATTGTTTTTTAGTTTTAAAAGTTATTCAATATTTCATATTTTGGTCTGAACATGTGCGTCTGTAAAAGTTTCACAGGTGCACATGTTCTGACCAAAATATTAAAGTTTGACTGTAAATAACAAGGAATCCATGTTTTATGAATTGCCAAGTTTTAAGTTTTATTTTATCTGTTTGATAATCATAAACTTGATAAAGAGGAATGCCACTGAAAAAATGTAGAAAATTGACAATTTATACACCTTATACGTTCACATTTCAATTTATCTCAGACATTGACTCTAATGGTTATTTGTCTCTCACAGCTGATTCACAAATCAGGTGGGATTGATAACCTGTTATTTAGGCAGAAATCAGGTATGAAGGGTTAGTTATCATAGAAAGGTGGTGAGCTGAAGGCCAAGATACGACTAAAAATGAGCTGAAATTGGCATAAAAATTAAACAAACAAACAAAGATTAAGATATCCATGATCTATCTTAAGAACACCAGGCAGTACAGTCTTAAAAAGTGCTTAAAAGTTGATGAATAAGATGAAAAAGCTTAAAAAGTACTAACAGTGGCTGCAAATAAGCTTGAAAATGATTGAAAGACATAGTGTCAGTAAAAATAGAAAGTTAACAAAAAAAATCAAACTGTAACAGTGACTTGCAATTATTTCATTTACCTGAAGGCATGCTTGTTTAATGATAGAATGTCAACATGTTTTATTTTACAGATAGCTTTGGGTAAAATGGTTGCCAAGGTTTTACCTCAGATGCACATAGCAAAACTGGATCCCAAGACAGTCTCACGAGATTCAGATTATGTAGGACATTTTGATATATTTTATAAAGATATATGGCATTGAATGAAGTTTTTTTAAAATCTGAAAGTTATGAACTATATCTTATTGAAAAGATGTAGCAATGATAAATAATAATTACATATAGCCATGATCAAATATAAATTTTATATAGCCATAACCAACTGTAATTGCATATAGTGATGATCAACATTACATATAGCCATAACTTACTGTAATAACTCATAGCAATGATAAAATATAATTACATAAAGTCATGATCCTGTAATTACATATAGACATAATCAGCTGTAATTAACCATTATTAAATGTGATTATAAATTGTAATGGTCAAATATATTTACACATGACATTGAACAGGATTAACTCATAGCCATACTCGACTGTTATTACACCATACATTAGTAACTGTAATTACACATATGAGCCGCGTCACGACAAAACCAACATAATTGGTTTGCGACCAGCATGGATCCAGACCAGCTTGAGCATCTGCACAGTCTGATCAGGATCCATGCTGTTCGCTTACAAACCCTATAGCAAGTAAAGAAACTGGTAACGAACAGCATGGAACCTGATCAGATTGTGGGAATGCGCAGGCTGGTCTGGATCCATGCTGGTCGCAAACACACTATGTTGGTTTTCATGACGCGGCTCATATGTTGATGATTTGATATTCTTTTGTCTAACAGGTGAAGACCTATACAAATGATCCTTTGAATTATCATAATGGTGTCAAATGCAGGTAAGATTCTTCTTCTGTTATCAATTATCAGAGTTTGATATTAACTGTATACATCAGTTTTAAATGAAATCTACTTTTACGATAAGTTTTTTTTTGTGAGTTGGTTTTTTAAGTCACAACAATACAAAGTTATAAATGATAAAAGTCTGGTTGAGTAGAACTACCAATGTTCTGTAAGCTAGCTTGATAGCTTATTTAAATGAAAGAATTCAAAGTTATTGGTGAAATTCAAACTTCCAGTTTAGGGGAAATTGAATTAGTTAAAGTCTATGATCGTAAGCACTCAGCTAGAGGCTTAATCCATGTTGTTATTCTAACATGCTTCACAATATTCCCCTATCAAACAGATAGGGTGTTCAAGTGCATTATTACTAGATATTTGCACAGCATAAAAAAGCAAATGCTTACACGTCAAGTGACGTCAGATATGACATCAATAAACCAAAATTTTTAATGATGTCAGAAAAATTACTTCTACACTCAATGTAGTTCAATATTTGTTATTAATTCTCTGTAATAATGAAAATAGATATACATTTTTTCTTGCATTATAGTACATTTACAACATTGCACAATTTATAGTTCAAATGCTTTATAATTAATCACTCAACCTATCAGCCTTTGTGATTTTATTCCTACACATTTGAAATTGAACCTTGCATTATTCTTCAACAATGCACTCAAAATTGATATCTATTCCTATATACATTTGTATATACATGTATTGGAATTGAGGATGAAACAGAAAGTGTACTTTGCCTTAAGTATAAAAGGACACTAAATTTTTCTAACCTAACCTTTCAGGTGGGGTGTTGCAATGTTAGATGCCTTGAAGAAAATAGAAGACAATGTTTCAGATATAGACTGGCCATTCTTTATCTTACATGGTGACAAAGATGCGTTGTGTGAACTGGACGGATCTAAACTCATGTATGATAAAGCTAAAAGTACAGATAAAAAAATCAAAGTAAGTGAATGAGATTAAAAGCTTCTTGTCTGTAGGATGAAAAAATTTGATCATTTTTGGGGGCCCAGGGGAGAAAAGGTTTGATGGTTTTTGTTTTTTCTTTTAGTTGTTGTTTTTTCCTTAAATTATTTTGCTTTGCCCTTAAAAATTGATTCAGATTTATCTTGTACATGTAATCCTTTTTTAATGTTAACTAATTATTTTTCTTACTTTCTCAGATATTTGAGGGTGCCTTCCATCAGCTGCATAATGAATTAGAACCAGTGAAGAAAGAAACCTTTAATCTCATATCAGATTGGTTGAATGAAAGAGTTTAAGGATACTTCTCTGCTGTGATTGGCTAGAATCAAATTATTCCCTCTATAAAAACATTCCTGATTGGTTGAATATGAAAATAAGATGCAAGGATGTTGCTGATTGGCTGAATTTGAAATTATAATGTAAGAGTGTTACTCATTAGCTGAATATGAAAACTTATTGTATGGAGATTGCTGATTGGCTGATTTTGAAACAGTATGTACAGACAATGATGCTTGGTTAAAATTAATGCACTACTTATTGTGTTCAACTATATTTTTAGTATTGCATAGTTTTTATGCCCCCGGGCATATAGTAATTGAACCGTCCGTCCGTCTGTCTGTACGAGGTTAACCTAGAACGGCAAGTTGGATTTTTCTTAAGTTCTACCTGTACCAATGGCTTTAAGTTTACACACTTACTAATCAGTACAAAGTACATGATCTGGGCAAGTTGCATAACTCTGGCTTTCATATTTACCAAGTTATTGCCCTTTACAGCTATTACAAAAATGAATAATGGTTAACCTAAAACAGCAAGTTGGAAATATCTTAAGTTCTATCTATACTTACGGCTTTATAATTTCCACACTTTCTTATCAATACAAAGCACATGATATTGCCAAGTTATATAACTGTGTCATCCATATTTCCCAGTTATTTCCCTTTTTTCACTTTGAAAATATGCCCCTGTCTGGTTAACCTATTTCGGCAAGTTGGATTTATCTTAAATTTCTCCTAATTGCTTAATTTCTTTACTTATATCTTTCATATTTAGTAGGTGGATACCTTTGATGGTCCTCTAATTTTTTTTTGAGTAAGCGGTCTCTAGGGTCGAGGTCACTGGTTTAAAAAATATATATAAACATTTTAGCTCGTACAGCCTTTATTTTTTAGTTGATGTCTTAGTTTAATAAAAACACCTCCTTCTTTGGGTGTAGTATGGGGTCATTTGGGTCAAGGTCAATGTTACCAATGTCAAGGTCACCAATGTTAAAAATAGATTTTTACATTTTTAAAGGTGTATTGACCTTATTCTATAGACAGATGTTATTTATGATTGATAGAAACATAAACTTTGATGGAGTAAGTGGTCAGTTGGGTCAAGGTCACCAGTGCTAAAAATAGATTTTTACACATTTGCTCATACAGCCTTTTTTAGGTGACATATATATTTTATATTTGGTAGGAAGATAAGTTGCATGGTACTCATCCTTTTGATTGGGGTAGGGATCAGTGGGTCAAGGTCACTTGTGCTAAAAATAGATTTTAACACTTTTGCCCATTCAGCCTTTATTTACTGACAGATCTATTTCATATTTGGTAGGAAAATAGATCTATTTCATATTTGGTAGGAAAATAACTTATATGTCATTCTTCTTTTGGATAGAGTTAGGGGTCAGTTTGGTCAAGGTCACCAGTGCTCAAAATAGATTTTTACACTCTTGCCCATACAGCCTTTATTTGATGACAGATGTATTTCATATTTGGTAGGAAGATAACTTGCATGAAGTTGAATATTTTTGCATGTATTGGCAAATGAATGGCTTAATTTATTTTAGCAAAAAAAAACAAATTTCTTTTGTATTTTTAATGTTAACTTCATATTTTATGACTTTATATTTTTATACATAGATAAGTGGTGGAATATTGTTGTGCTTAAGTACTGTTAATAAGTGTTTTGGCAGATCAGATTTAAATCTAAAAACACTTTAAATATAGACAAAAGCGGCATGAATCGAATCCATGATTGATAAATCAAATGCATTTCTGATGTCTTGAAAGAAGATGGTTTATCCAGTTTGCTGCAAAAAGTGAATCTAGAATTGCTAAAGCTCACCCAAGATACACTTTCTTGCTCACAGGATAAACCTTCTCCATTTGGACATCAACCATTCTTTTCATTGAATTTTATCAGATGTATTGCACATGTATATTTTGATCTTCATGTATTTTAGTACATGGCAAAATTTTTGTATGTGGTGCTGTAATGTTTTAACAGAATTTATTTAAATTTTTATAGATTTTTTGTGATTTAATTGACTATGCAATGTTAAGTTGTGACAGTTTTAGTAGTCAGTCTGACCAATCAATTTTATTTGTATGCTTTTATCATTTTAGATGTATATATTAACAATTACTGATTTGATTTATTTCGTGGCCAGATAAATTGTTTAAAGGGATTCCACTAAGGTTTTCTGACTGGACTGGACCCGGTGACTTGTGTGCAAAATTACACATTATTTGCACTATCCTTTTTTCCAGAACAATTAGTGTAATTTTGAAAAATTGAAAAGCGTTGCAACACTTTCCACTCAAAATCTGCTATGAATGGCGCAAAATACTTTTGCAATTTATCTTTGAGTATATTTTTTAATTAATTTTTGCATATCATTCTGTTTTAAGTGCTCAAGTTAATCTATCATAATGTTAGAAATTGAAACTGTATATTTGTATGGTTGTTTACCTCAGTGAAGTTCCTTAAACACAGAATAATGTATTTTTGTAAGATTTTCATATGTGATTTATTTTATTGAAAACTATGCTATGATAAATGTTGTTTGACTTTGACATTAACTTTCTTGAACTCATTGTGAAAGTCTATTCTACCAGTATAAAGCCATGCCAGCCTGTACATCCATACAGTCTGACCTGGCTTTATACTGTCACTGTCAGTAAAGCTCAGTTTGATCAATAGAACATCACATGTTATCAGTTGTGGTTTAAAACAGATATGATAGTTTTATATTGTGATATTTGCTCAAATTTATGTTGTTTTTTATATCACATATCCACAGATCTGATTTTGCTCACATTTTTACACTGGCTTACATAGATGTTTTACTTTCTTACAAATTTTACAATTTTAGCATATGCAAAATTTTTAAGCCTTAAGCATTATTTTAAAGAAATGGATTTTTTTATTGAACAAATGTTGTATTTTTTAATGATTTGTGCACCTGGTTTATAAGCAATAGTTTTTTACGTTTTTTTTTTAAATCTTTTAATTCTTTAATTTTTTGACCTGGACCAAAACAGATTTTGATACGCAACCAACAAGGGAAGTAACTGTGATGAGAGGAAATTATCACAGTTGTTTCCCTTGTTTAATAAAAGCTATATATTGTAACAGATAAGGTCAAATTTATGTGTGTATGTGAAAGTCAAATTCAATCAAATCCATATCAGTTTGTTGTATAATGTACTTTTTCATATAAATTGTTATTTATGCTCCAATCATTCATTGGTTTTAAAAGATCTTGTAACACATTTTTTATGGTTTTATATCATAAATATAATGCTCAAATGTAGATTTATCAATTTTGTAAGTTTCAAAAAAGCATTTTTTGTAAAGATATTACCGAAGTTTACATTTCATGTTAATTAAGGGAGGTAATTAGAAATTTATTTTCTATAAAGTCAGAGTCAAATTTTTCAATAAGAAATAAATGCATATATTTTAATGATTTCTATATAATGTGGGTACATATTTTACATATTCGTTAATGTTTGAAAATTGTTTAAGAACATATATAAAATTTCACTTAAGTGTGGTAACAATCTAAATTACAACACACAGGATCTTTAAGCACAGCATACTCATTGAAAATTATTTTGCCATATTGATGTTTTAGTTTGTGAATTGCATAATATTATAATATTTTATTGTTGACAGAAATTCTGCTGCAAAATTGTTATTATTTGTTGGGCACTAATTTGTGTGGTCTTAAAGGATAGGTCAGTCCATACATTTAAGATCCAATGAAATTTTATTTCGTTTACTGTATGATTACTTTGTATAACATTTTTTTAATTTTTTTTGCAAAAAAAACCCAAACAAAACCAGACAATTCATTTATTGTAAAACCTCCAAAAATGTCCTTTTTGGGAAAACCCACAAGCTATTATGCCCACAAATAAATTGAATTTACAGTAGTTTAACCAAACATATCCAGTGTTCAACATATCAATTGTTTTGTCGTGTTTTTATTTTATTTCTTTTTTTGTGTGACTTTGTTTTAGTTTTGAACGTGTTTGTTTGTTTTTTTGTTTGTATATTATTTTCACTTGAATATTATTAAAAAAATATTTCATATGAATATTATATATACTTGTATGATATGAAATATTATCAATAATGTTATAATATCGCACATAGAGGCACCTTGTTGGGTGGTCTTCATAATTCTATGTCAGGTGCTACCTCAGGGGCATTTATGGGGTCTACCACAATGTATGTATCTGGTTCACTCCAGGAAAATACTTTGGGCACAACTTTTGTAATAAACCTTACTGGCACTTTATTATTATTATTCAAGGGGACCTTATGGTGTATACCTCAACCAGTTTACCCTGGAATCTTGCCATATCACCTCAGTAACAGTTTTGTTGTGAAATGTAACAGAAATACAGCAAAATTATACTTGAAATAGTTTACAGCACCGTATGCCGATGACTTCTAATCCAGTTACCTCTCTGGCATGGGTTCGATCCCCAGGAGATGCTTAGGTAGTTTAGAGGAAGGTAGTCTAGTACTGGTGTAACTCTCCAGGAACGATGGTTAGGAAACTACCCGCCTATATGACTGAAATACTGTTGAAAAAGGCGTAAAATGAAACAAACAAACAAACAGCACCATATGCTAAATACTAAAAAATAATTGTCAAAAATCTGTCATACTGAATATCCATTATGACAGTGTTTACATTTAACTTGTGATATATATTGTTTGTAGTTTAATCCATCTAGGACAAAAAATAATGGTATTTAATTCCCAGAATCAACAGAAAGTTTAAGGGCATTTATTTTAGTTTTAACAAAAAAAAAACAGGAGAGAAATTAGAATAACAAAATTATATAATACCTGCAAGAATATAATGTGCATACATTTATATAATCTGGGAAGTCTTCCTAGACAGAATTGATTGTTTTACACGGTTTTAAAGTGACATTATGCCTATCTATGAGTTTTCAAATTCTTTAATAACTGACACCTGCATAATCAATAACTATTGTGACCCCGATAAACATATAAAAAATATCCTTATGAATTTATCAGTAGCATTCAATTTATAAAAAGAGTGGGGCAGTCTTTTTTATATATTTAGGCAGTTTTAACATTTATTCCAAATGTAAGTTATTATCAAATTTTGGTCAGTGACCATTATAATAGTTAGTCTTTTTGAAATATAGAAGTATTTTTGACTCAACAGTGAAAAAATGAGCATAATGTCACTTAAAGGCAGATACCTGTGTACAGTTTATACCTCATAATATTTAAAAATCAAATAATGTTTATATACAAGTTTTACCAATAACTTATAGTTGTATATTGTATTTGATATTCCATCATAAATAAATTTTAAATTCCACATTTTAAATTTTCTACACAATTCAGGTTTTTAAGGTTGTATTAGACTTTTTATCAAAGTTT